CTGCTGAGAAGCTCCTTATGTAATCTTAAACAGGTGTCTCCCTTGTTCTTGATCCTTGGATCCAAGGTTAATTATCTCAAAACAATTATGTAATCTTCCTCTTTTAGAAATCCTTGTCTTTTTTAATGTCCCTGAATACACACATAATTTACTATGGCACATGTATTCCCATTGCAATATTACTCCCAAATAAATATCATTTTCTTTTAGAGCATCTCCCTCTGTTTGCTATTTAGCTAGACAGTAGGCAATTCTTTTATGAATTCAATTTTTAAAATATTGTCAAATGTACCATTAATATATTCAATTATATTTTTTTCTAGAGTTACAAAAGTTTCAAATATGTGATCTACCTTCCATGTAACCACAGGTGACAGCTATCAAATGTTTTGCCACTCCCTAACTTGTTTTACAGTAAACAATAATGTTTTTTCTTGCCACTCACTGCCAATGAATCAAGTATTAAGCCAATGGCACATAAGTTAGGTGGTGTGTTTTAGCAGCACCCCATTTCAAGAGGCCAGTCTCACACTAGCCAAGATTGCTTCGTCTATTCTGTACTAACAAGATCCCAACATCTCAAGGACTCCACATAGGAGAAGTTTTTGTTGTTTGTTTTTGTTTTTCACTTCTGTTACATGTCCTGTGCTCATAGTGGCCACAAAACAATCCAGGCTGAGAGATGCTTTATTGACCCTTGTTTGAGTGTCAAGGCAAGACAATGAGAAATTTGCAGTCTTACACTGGTGAGTAAATGCTCTCACTCTGAAGCAACATGTCATTTCCACAATATTTTACTGACCAAAAATTTACATGATAATATATAACTTCAAGGGGGAAGAGGGGACTCCTGCAAGAATGCATTTCTTATCCCACAAGGAATAAAATGTTAGCGTACAGCCCTAGGTCCCATTTTACGACCTCTATGCTATGTACTATATATATATCTAAGTCTACCATAAAACACTAACAAAAATAAGCTGATATAATCATTTTAATATATACTAAATTGGTTGTTTTGTTGTTGTTGTTGCTTTTGAGACGGAGTCTCCTTCTGTGGCCCAGGCTGGAGTGTACTAGTGCGATCTTGGCTGACTGCGAGCTCTACCTCCCAGGTTCACGCCATTCTCCTGCCTCAGCCTCCCGAGTAGCTGGGACTACAGGCGCCCGCCACCATGCCCAGCTAATTTTTTGTATTTCTAATAGAGATGGGGTTTCACCGTGTGTTAGCCAGGCTGATCTTGATCTCCTGACCACATGATCTGCCAGCCTCTGCCTCCCAAAGTGCTGGGATTACAGGCATAAGGCTAAATCGATTTTAAGGAAAAAGACATTAGAATAGATAATGTCACCTCATGTGAGCAGAGGTTATATTTGCCATGAAGATACTACAATTCTAATGCTCCACGCACTCATAAGTGTGGCATCAAAATATGTAAAGTAAAAGTTGACAGGACTTCTAAAATAAATAGATAAACCTATACTCACAGCAGGATAGTTTAACATTAAATCTCAAGAAGTAATAGAATAAGAAGACAAAACTCAGAAAAGGTAAATAGGATTTAAACTATGATTAACAAATAGATTTAGTGGATGTATGAAACACTGCACCCCAAAACTTCAGGATACACATTATTTTCAACAAACACAAAACATTTATCAAAATTGACCAGATATGCAAAACATAAATTTTAGCAGAGAAAATTTTATGTAAATGGAAACTTGAACATATATTTTAAAAATAGTCTACGGTGGAAGAAAAATCACAGTAAATTTAGAAAATATTTAACATGAAGTATAATTAAAATATAGTAAAACCTTGTGAGAAATGATTTAAAATTCTGAGAGGAAAACATATTCCAGGAAAATAACAGCAAACATGCTCAAAGGAAGTAAAACTAATTAAATAACAATAAAAGAGATGAAATTAATGAAAGAGAATACATTTGAAAAGATCAACCAAGACAGATTTGAATAGACTAATAAAATAAGCAAACTTCTGGTAAGATAAGTCATGAAAAGAAAAGCAAATAATATGAAGAATTTAAAGGATATATTCTGTTGGTATTAAAAATTTAATAAGATGATATTATAATCAAAATTACATAAAAACATAAATAATTGAAACTGACAAATATCTAGAAAATTGTAACTGCCAAAACAAGACCAGAAGAAATAGGCAACAGAATAGTTCCAGATCAAGATCATAGAAATGTACGCTCATGTACTCTATAAGTTACATGTTAAAGAGTGTTCGTAGCATCATCATCATCATAGTCTCCAAACTCAAAATAAGCCAACTTTGTGTTTCCACTAGACTAGATAAAGTTTGAATTGTCATTCAATTAATACTATGCAGCAATTGAATAAATGATCTATCTCTATATGCAACATAATTAATTTTAAAAACGTAATATTGATCAAAAATAGTTACATTCAAAAAGATTATGTACAGTATTATTCCATTCATGTGCAATCCAAAACCAGGCAAAACCAAGCTAGTGCTTAGGGATACATATTCAAATGTAAAATATACAAAGTTAAACAATAATGTGATTTGAGTTGAGAGAGTTGTTACTTCTGGAATGAAGATGGGGTTATGATTAGAAAGGAAAATATAAGGTGTTATGGGATATACAAAGTTCTCTTTCTTGACATGGAAGGTGTTTAAATTAGTGTGCGCTTTATACTATAGCATTTATACTTCATTAAATGTTCTATATTTGTTATATGTAACAATAATAGTTAGCAAAAATGAAAAAGAGAAAAGAAATATTTCTAATCAAATGATAGGAGGTTAGCTAAAGCTTAATACCAAATTCTCATAGGCACAATATGAGAAATGAAAATTAAATGTCAATATTCCTTATAAACATAGATGCAAGTATCCTAATACAACATTGGCAAACTGCATCCATCAGTGATTTAAAAAATACTTTACATACTCAAACCTTTCGTTGTTTCCTCTTCCTGCCCTCTGCCTCATTTTCCTTTTCGGTTCAGACTGCTGAAAAAGTTTTTCTGTGATGTTCCCTAGCATCTATTCTCTTTCTCTTATAGAAGTGAGAGACTACATCTCTTTGATTAAATTCATGGTTTTAAATGTTTTCTCTTATGGAAATGCACCAGAAAAATGCAGCTCAGAACCACAAGCTTGCTATCCATTCTCTCTGTCTTTGTCATGGGTTATGTCACAAGTTCTAAAAAACTGTGGTATTTTTTTCATATACCAGCAAGTACGGTACCGTCCCTCAGGTCTATTTGTGCCGATTTGGGGTATTATCAGGTTGTGACTGGCATCCCCAAACGCTTTTCTCCAGATAGAGAGGAAGATCACCCTAAATTGAAAAAGAATAAAAGATCTCTTCAGGCCTGGGTCAAGAGTGCAAATGAAAGACCACATGCCACATAGCTAGATATTTAAAGGTCATAAATATACAAAGCTAGCAAACTGTTAAAGGAGATATTTTCTATTCTATCTTGACAAATATACCATTATAACAACAAAATGGAAAAAAGCTACCTAGCTATTTTAAGTTATAATTGAAACTTGCAAATCATCAAAGATGATGCAATTATTTTGTAAATTTTTTAGTACTCTGTAGATCACCCGAAAAAAATTGCGTGAGTAATAAAATACAAACATTTATAATTCACAAATTATATGTTTATTAAATAAAAATAGCTTTGTATTCATCCAGCTAAATGGCTGGATGAATTTACTATCTTATAATCAAGATAATCAAGTTTTTATTTACATTAATTTTGAATTAGATACTCTTTCTTGAGTCTCCAAGTTTTCAGAATTTTGGTAATTCACTTTTTTTGGTGTGTTTTGAAAGAGTGGGATGGGGTGAGGAATCTTGACTCTTCACAGTGAACACAGTAGTCCCACCTTATCTGTAGTTTCAGTTACCCAAAGTCAGCCATGGTCCAAAAATAGGTGTGTACAGTACAGTAAGGTATCTTGAGAGAGCGAGAGACACCACACTACATATTTTATATTACAGACATACATATATTTTTTACATACATTACATACATACATAATATTTTTAAACAAATTTTTTACTTTTTATTTTTTAAATTTTTATTTATTTTAGAGACAGGGTCTCCTTATATTGCCCAGGCTGGTCTCAAACTTTTGGGCTCAAGTGGTCCTCCTGCCTCAACCTCCCAAAGTGCGAGGATTACAGGCATGAGCCATAACCCCTGGCAACTTTTATTATAGTATATTGTTTTAATTGTTCTATTTTATTATTATTTTTGTAATCTTTTACTGTGCTTGATTTATAAATTAAACTCCATCATAGGTAGATAAATACAGGAAAAATACATATTGTATATAGAGTTTGGTACTATCCGCTGTTTTAGGCATCCACTGGGGGTCTTGGAACATATGCCCCATGGAGAAGGGGAACTAGTGTTTCTGTTTCTTTGCTTGGTTATCAGTTTTGCAGGTTATGACGTAATACAGTACTGCTTTCTTTGGTAGCTGTTACCGAATTTGTAAAATTTACTTACTTTTTATCACTTTTAAAGTTCAAAAAAGAAGTATGAGGGGAAAAGTGGATAAAATGTGAAGGCATTTGGTGCTATGGAGGGATGGTGGTGAGCACTGTTAAGTGGTGATGAGGCAGGGAATGAGAAAGATGCATGCTTTGTAAACGAGTTTCTCTTCAGTCACAGTACTGACCAAATCCAGCTTTAGCTCCACAAGGAATTGAGCACTCTTTTGAAATAGATAGGTCTGTCTTTGCATATTTTACAAATCTTCATTGGCTATGCTATTAGCCATAAAAGCTTCATTTAGCTACATATTCTATGAATCAGATTTTAATAATATTTGTGCCTCAGAACTCAAGCTGGTTGAATCAAATTTTCCACAACTCAGAGGAGGCAAAAATGTACAAAACAATGAAAGAAAATACGTCTTTATTTGCATGGATGCAAATGTGAGTTTAACTTTGCTTCATAATCATCTATGAAATATTTCTGCCCATGGTGAAGACATAAATTTCTTAGCTGGGGCTCAGCAGAGAAACTGAAGGAAAAAAAGATGTCACCAGTACAGCTATGTGAAGATCAATCAGCAAACTTTAGAAATTTCCACTTGACATTGAGCTAACAATGAAAGAAGGAGCAGAAAAAGGAGAAGGAAGAAGAACTCCACTGTCCACTCAAGGATATGAATAGCATTTTAGATCAGTGAATAACCAGCAGCGATATTAGACTTTGAACTTTCTCTGTTCTGACATGGAAAGTGCCCTGCTGAGTATCCTCACTCTTGTAATAATTGCAGAATTCGTAATTGGGAATTTGAGCAATGGATTTATAGTACTGATAAACTGCATTGACTGGGTCAGTAAAAGACAGCTGTCCTCAGTTGATAAAATCCTCACATTCTTGGCAATCTCCAGAATTGGGCTGATCTGGGAACTATTAGTAAGTTGGTTTTTAGGTCTGCATTATCTAGCCATATTTGTGTCTGGAACAGGGTTAAGAATTATGATTTTTAGCTGGGTAGTTTCTAATCACTTCAGTCTCTGGCTTGCTACAATCCTCAGCATCTTTTATTTGCTCAAAATAGCAAGTTTCTCTAGCCCTGCTTTTCTCTATTTGAAGTGGAGAGTAAACCAAGTGATTCTGATGATACTGCTGGGAACCTTGGTCTTCTTATTTTTAAATCTGATACAAATAAACATACATATTAAAGACTGGCTGGACCGATGTGAAAGAAACACAATTTGGAATTTCAGTATGAGTGGCCTTCCAACATTTTCAGTGCCGGTCAAATTCACCATGACTATGTTCAGTCTAGCACCATTTACTGTGGCCCTCATCTCTTTTCTCCTGTTAATTTTCTCCTTGCGGAAACATCTCCAGAAAATGCAGCTCAATTACAAAGGACACAGAGAACCCAGGACCAAGGCCCACATAAATGCGTTGAAAATTGTGATCTCATTCCTTTTACTCTATGCCAGTTTCTTTGTATGTATTCTCATATCATGGATTTCTGAGCTGTATCAGAATACACTGATCCACATGTTTTGTCAGACGATTGGAGTCTTCTATCCTTCAAGCCACTCCTTTCTTCTGATTCTAGGAAACCCTAAGTTAAGACAGGCCTCTCTTTTGGTGGCAGCTAAGGTATGGGCTAAACGTTGAGAAACTCACAATTTCATAAGCCATTCAGACCACAGATTATTGAATATTGTAGACAGAAACAGGAGTCTATGAGGAGTTTAAAAATATTTTATACTTTCCCTAGTTTCTTCTATTGTGAAGGTGGTCACTACAATTTTTTAAAATTCTTCTCTATAATAGCATCTTACCTAAGAATATTGTGTATTTATGACATATATTTCTACATTATTAGGAATTTGAAACTTATTTGAGGAAATCATTGGTAGATTCTACTGTAAATTAAAAACATATACTACAGCATACTTAGATGTTAATTGTAAATCTATAGTCTTTTGTCTGGCAATGGCTCTTCAATTCTAAATCACTCATTGGGATGGGTGATTTAGGTAATTATTTTATTATATCATGTACTCCTATTTAAATGGTGAATTACAGATAACTAGAACAGTTATTTGGAATAGAATTAAGGGAAGTTTGGACTTGCCACTATTACTATGCTGATGGGTTACAAAAAGTTTAATATGAGTAACTGCCACATAAAAAGATAAGTGTTTGTTAGGAATTATATTGTATGTATGTGTACATACATATTTTACATCATGCCTTTTAAAATAAATATTATTGAGACATAATTTACATATAATAAAATGCAACATGTTAGTCCACATTTTGGTTAGAGTTTTGACAATAGTGTACACCTGTGTGACCACAATGTCAGTGCCCTTTGCAGTTTACCCTCTCCTCACCAGCCCTTTTTCCCAAGCAACTACTTATCTGTTCTTGGTAACAATAAGAAAGTCCTTTGATTTTTAGAATTTATATGGTTATAGATATATAGATGCTATATATATATATACACACACACACACACACACACACACGCACACACACACATGTACAGTTATCGAGTGTCCACTATTATATGTGAGGCTTCTTTAACTCAGCATGTTTTTGAAGTTCTTCTATTTTGTTGTATTAATCAGTAGTTTGTTCCTGAGCAGTATTCCTGAGTAGTATTGGATATACCACATTAAAAAATTTATCTTTCCTGTTAATGAACATTCAAATGGTTTTTAATCATTGGCCATTATAAATAAAACTATATCAACATTCATGTGTGTCTCTTCTTCTGGATATACAATTTTCTCACTCTTGAGTAAATACCTACAAGTAAAAATGTCAAATCATATGATAAGTGTATGTTTAACTTAAAAAAAATGCTAGAGTTCTATGGAGTGGCTGCACAATTTCATATTATTGCCAGCAATATACAAGAGTTTCAGTTATTTCACATTCTGGCCAACAGTTGGTAGGTACTCTGTTTTATTTTTTATTTTTTGGCCATTCTAGTCAGAATGTAATGACATCTCATCATAGTTTTAATTCACATTTTCCTAATGGCTAGTGAGGCTGAACATTTTTTCATGTGCTTTGGGTCATTCATAAAACCTCTTTTTATGAAATGTTTGTTTAAACCTTTTGTCAACTATTTAGCTTGATTCGTTGCTTTCTGTTTTTGTTACTGAGTTGTAAATGTTCTCTATATAGTCTCTGTATTAGTTCGTTTTCATGCTGCTGATAAAGACATACTCAAGACTGGGTAATTTGTAAAGAAAAAGAGATTTAATTGACTCACAGTTCCACACTGCTGGAGAGGCCTCACAATAACGGCAGAGGCAAAAGTCATGTCTTACATGGTGGCAGTCAAGAGAGAATGAGAACCAAGTGAAAGCAGAAACCCCTTATAAAAACATCAAGTTTCATGAGACTTATTCACTACCATGAGAACAGTATGGGGGAAACTGCTCCCATGATTCAATTATCTCCAACTGAGTCCCTCCCATAACACATGGGAATTATGGGAGGTAGAATTCAAGATGAGATTTGGGTGGGGACACAGCCAAACCATATCAGTCTGAATGTAAGTTCTTTATCAGACATTAAGTTTTATAAATATTTTCTGCCAGCCAGAGGCTTGTCATTTCATTTTCTTTACAGTGTCTTTCAAAGAGAGGGCATTAAAAACTTTTAATGAAGTTCAATAATCAGTTATTTTCCTATAAGAAAATTAATTTTTACTTCTTTTGCTTTCAAAATTCAAAGGTATTTTATGGATCAGTTAGAAAAAATATTTGCAATAAGGCACAGTTACCCTTGAGTATAATGACAGAAAGCCTGATTTCATTTTCTCTACTGTCAGAACAGGTTCTTTGGTGATACCACATAGATTTTTAATAACCTGTTTCAGTAGTACTATCTACTTGAGCATTCTCACTTTCTCTCTTTTATTTTCTTTTTAGAAAGGACCTCCTAAATGGGTTTGCTTAAAAATTAGGTGAGAGGAGTAGTATGATCATTTTTATCTTTAATTTCTCTGAACTCTCTTGTAGTTTATTTACCCAATAGCATCTTTCAATATCTGTCAGTATTTTCACCTCGGTACTCATATGGTTCCCATAAAAAGCACTATAATAGTTAAGGGCTGAGTCTGGAGTCAGAGGTACAATTCTCAGTTCTATCACTTAGTAGTGTTAGTTAAAATTGTGTAGTTCCCATTTATAAGTGAAAACATGCAGTATTTGGTTTTCTGTTTCTGCATGAATTCACTTAGGACAATGGTCTTTAGCTGCATCCATGTTGCTGCAAAGGACATGATTTCATTTTTTTATGGCTACATAGTATACTATGGTGTATGTATACCACACTTTTTTGGTCTAATCCTTTTTTTTTTTTTTTTTTTTTTGAGACAGAGTCTTACTCTGTTGCCCAGGTTGGAGTGGCACGATCTTGGCTCACTGCTGCCTCTGCCTCCCAGGTTCAAGCAATTCTCCTGCCTCAGCTTCCCAAGTAGAGCTGGGATTACAGGCGGGTGCCAGCATGTCCGGCTAATTTTTGTATTTTTAGTAGAGATAGAATTTAGCCATGTTGGTCAGGCTGGTCTTGAACTGCTGACCACAGGTGATTTGCCCACTTTGACCTTCCAAAGTGCTGGGATTACAGGCATGAGCCACCGTGCCTGGCCTGTAATTCATTGTTGATGGGCATGTAGGTTGATTCCATGCCTTTGCTATTGTGAATAGTGCTCTAATGAAATTGTGAATGTATATGTGTCTTTCTGGTAGAATGATTTATTTTCTTGTGAACACATACCCAGTAATGGTATAACTAGGTTGAATGGTAGTTTAAGTTCTTTGAGAAATCTCCAAACTGCTTTCTATAGTGGCTGAGGTAATTTGCATGCCCACCAACAGGATATAAGTGTTCCGTTTGCTCCACAGCTTCACTAGCATCTGGTTTTTTTGTTTGTTTGTTTTTGTTTTTTTTAACTTTTTGATAGTAGCCATTCTGACTGGTGTGAGATGGTACCTCTTTGTGGTTTTGATTTGCATGTCTCCAATGATTAGTGATGTTGAGCATTTTAAAACTTTTGTTGGCTGCTTTGTATGTCTTGTTTTGAGAAGTGCCTGTTCACATGTTGTGCTCATTTTTAAAGGGGTTATTTGTTTTCTGCTTATTCAATTGTTTCAGTTCTTTATAGATTTGGGATATTAGACCTTTGTTGAATGCATAGTTTGCAAATCTTATATTCTATAGGTTGCCTGTTTACTCTGTTGATAGTTTCTTATGATATGTGCAGAAGTTCTTTAGTTTAATTAAGTCCCACTTGTCAATTTTTGTTTTTTGTTGCCATTGCTTTTTGGGACTTAGTCATAAATTCTTTCCCAAGGCCAATGTTTAGAATGGTGTTTCCTAAGTTTTCTTCCAGGATTATTGTAGTGTAAAGTCTTACATTTAAATTTTTGACCCATTCTGAGTTAATTTTTGTGTATGGTGAAAAGTAAAGGTTCAGTTTAATTCTTTGCATATGGCTAGTCAGATACCCCAGCACCATTTACTGAATAGGAAGTCCTTTCCCCATCGTTTATTTTTGTCAATTTTGTCAAACATCAGATGGCTGCAGTTGTGTGCCTTTATTTCTGGGTTCTCTATTCTGTTCCATTGGTTTATGTGTCTCTTTTTATAACATGACCATGCTGTTTTGTTTACTGTAGCTTTATAGTATAGTTCAAAGTCAGGTAATGTGATTCCTTTGGCTTTGTTCTTTTTGCTTAGGATTGCTTTTGTTATTTGGGCTCTTTTTTCGATTCTATATGAATTTTAAAATAGTTTATTTTTCTAGTTCTGTGCAAAATGGCATTGGTAGCTTGATAGGAATAGAGTTGAATCTGTAAATTGCTTTGGGAAGTATAACCATTTCAACAATATTGATTCTTCCTATCCATGAGCATGGAATACTTTTCCATTTGTTTGTGTCATCTATGATTTCTTTCAGCAGTGTTTTGCAGTTCTCTTTCACCTCCTTGGTTAGCTGTAGTCCCAGTTTTATTTTTTATTTTAATTTTTGATGATATTGTAAATGGGATTGCATTCTTGATTTGGCTCTCAGCTTGAAGTTTTTTAGTGTATAGAAATTCTACTGATTTTTGTGCATTGATTTGTATCCTGAAACTTTACAGAAGTCCTTTATCTGTGCCAGGAGACTTTTGGCAAAGTCTTTAATGTTTTCTATGTATGGAATCACATCAGCAAGGAGATATAGTTTGACCACATTTTTTTTTCAATTTTGATGCCTTTTCTTTGTTCTTGCCTGATGTCCTGGCTAGGACTTTCAGTACTATGCTGAATAGGAGTGGTGGGAGTGGGGACTCTTTTCTTGTTCTGGTTCTCAAGGAGAATGCTTTCAATTTTTGCATGTTCAGTATAATGTTAGCTGTAGTTTTGTCATAGATGACTCTTACTACTTTGAGGTATGTTCTTTCAATGCCTAATTGTTTGAGAGTTTTTTCAAGAGTTCAGAATTTCCTTGATAGTTTTCTGCCTCAGTGAGCTGTCTAATGTTCTCAGTGAGATGTTGAAGTCCCCCAATATTATTGAGTTGGTGTCTTTTTATAGGTCTGGAAGTACTTGTTTTATGAAGCTGGATGCTCCAATGCTGAGTGCATACATATTTGGAGCAGTTAAATCTTCTTGTTGAATTGAACCCTTTATTATTATGTAGTGCCTTTCTTTGTCTTTTTTTTTTTTTTTTTTTTT